GTTAGCATTGTTTACTTTTTTTCCCGTTACAACAAACACGTAGATACTTATGGAATGTGGACATATAGATTACGTGCCTCGGAAGTGGCAACCTGGACAAACAATGCTTCGAGACCAACTGTGTAGTGCTCGGCATAATCAAGCAAAGATTTGATACCCAAATCCTTATGCCGATCATAAATCAAATCAGTTAACTAAAAATAATAGAGTTTTGTATAATTTATAGATATACGACGTTAACTATATTAATTTTGCGTTAATACTGAGTTATTTTAAATGAACATAGTACCAAGCTACGTATTCGTGGACTCAATCAAGCAGTTGAACATTTGTTGGTCGAAGTAATTAGAGATCGTAAGTTACGGTTTACATTTTAAGTATTTGAAAAAACCACGCACATTTTAAAAAAAATAGTTATAATGAATTCGAGTTTCTAGGAAATTTAATACAAATCTTCGCTCAGTATATAGCAACTTTTTGGAGGATGAATTCCGACTCATGTTTGGTTAAAAATAGTTCCTTAAACTAATGAAAGTGATACGACTAGAGATACCGGTGAAATTAATTTTCAGCCAATTCAACACCACTTTTACCAATAGTGTGTGAAATTATTTCACCACTCTGGTTTAATTTTGCCTGCATCTTTAGGTACAACCGCTTAAATGTTGACTTGGGGGATGTAACAGTTATCTGAGCTTGTAAGTTTTTTCACTTGTTATTATGCTAGAGATCCTGGCTTTTGATAATGTGCTCTAATGGCAAATGTATTTATATCGATACGAGGGACTTTATTCCGTAGCATCGTTTAAGTTTATTTTATTTGCATTGATCTAGTAATAAACGGTTATTAATTAAACCTTTTTTTTTTTTGCTTTTTAGATAATTCATTAAGATTTACTGTTTCTTTTGATTTAATTTAGCGGGTTAAACATATTTCGAGTCAAAGGTTTACACCTTGTTTAACCTTTATTCACGTTAATATAAATTCAAATTCATGAATATTTTATTTATACCAAGTAGTTTAAATAAACTATTAAGTTCTTGAATTTTTTTTTTAACTCTTAAGTGGGGCGCATTCATGAATATTTATTTTGCATAATTAATTGGTTTAATATTGCACATATTATTGATATATAGCGATATATACTTAAGCCATTGTGTGCAAATTTTACTGACTTTTTTTTATCTATAAGGCCTTCTTTTAGAAAACTATATATCAAACTGATTTGAAAAAACTTATAGAAATTTTGGATTTTGAGTTGAAATATATTCAAATGCTTGTAGTATAGAAGCATTAGTTGTGTTAATTGGTAGGTGTAAAGACGTTTTTTTTTATAATTAGTTATTCGGATTTATAAATATTTATATCTTATCCAGCTTATTCACATTTAGTAGGTGTTTGAATTAACAACTCAAATTCACGGATAAAAAGTGTGACGATATTCTGATTAATTTATTTATGGATAAGTATAGAGAACATTTATGATTTAGAATTAGTTATTCAGGTCTACAAAAATTTTCATTCATATTAATTTTGTTCACGTTAATCCAATAGAAACTAAAGTATTTTGAATAATATATTAATCATAAAAATTTATATTTGAGTGACTCTAAGAGAAACCAGACTTCGACCATATAAAGTCTATATGATTGCAATTTGGTTTTCTCTTGGCATCACAAATTTCATTAATTAATGTGGCAGTTTATGCTGAGAATTTGGCCTATTTTATTAAAATTTTGTGGTTTTTTTTGTAGTCTTTTTTTTTCTGATAAAATTTAGGAGGCAATTCTTGTAGTATCTTTTAAAAAAAAAAAAAAATTTCATTATTTTTTATATACCGATTATAGTATATCCCAAAACA